AAGATTCTGGGATACTGACCATGATGCATAACCACCACCAACAACAACAACCAACAACAGAATCCAAGATTCTGGGATACTGACCATGGTGCATAACCACCACCACCAACAACAACCACCAACAACAGAATCCAAGATTCTGGGATACTGACCATGATGCATAACCACAACCACCATCAACAACAATAGATCCCAAGATTCTGGGATACTGACCATGCTGCATAGTTACCACCACCACCAACAGAACCCAAGAGTCTAGCATACTAACCATGGCACAACCCAAAACAATAGAATCCAGGATTCTAGCGTATCTAGCTATACTTCTTACTGTATTTGTCCTGGAAAAGGAAATGGCTTTCGATGCTTTTTGACGATACTGTTGTGATTTGTCTTGAGCCCCCGTGGTGTAACGGTGAAGGTGACTCTGTGAGTGGGAAGGTCAGAAGTCTGAGTTCTTCCAGAGGCACCTCGGAAGCAAGGTCTGGTGACCTACTTCTGGAATATCCACCGCTAAAAGCCTGGTGGGGCTCAGTTCTTGTCTGGCACTCACGAGACTGCCCTGGGTTAGAGTCCTCTCCACGCAGTGGAGCTTTTCTTCGTAAGGCCTGTGGCAGTTGATAGAGAATCAGGGAACCGCCTATACCAACACTGCCGAGTTCCTTTCTATGTGATCACTATGTAAACAGACAAAGGCAGGCCTCCCATGAGGACCATTTGCTGCAATGTATTATGGCCCAAAGAGAACACAGGGGGAACATCTCTTTCTTCACTCTACTCCCAAATTGCCAGTGAAGACTTCATCCCTTTAGACAAAGAGAATGAAAGATGAGTGTACAAAGCAGACGGTCATGTGTGGAGGGTCCCCTGAGAAGGCTCTGGGCTGGACTATCGTTTTCTATCTCACACCCGGTGAGAAGTGGGGAAGCCAATTATGGTAGAGCTCTCTCCCTCTATTCCCAACCGTTTGGGACCAAGTCTGGTCAGAAGTCTTAAAAGGCTGTTTAATATTCCATGATGAGACTCATTCAGATATGGTCACCTTCATCTGCCCCTAGTCATACCTAGAACCAGGATGCTTCTGCACACCTAACACCTATTAGCACCTTCCCAGGTGAACTCAGAGGGAGGGAGGTTCTGCCTAGGGCCATGGTTACAGGTACACATATATGTCCACATATGATGGTGTAGAAAAACTGCTTCTTGAGGAAAAGATCAGGGTGGTTCTCATACTTGGTGGGTGTGCATTTATCAAGTTCCCTTTTGATAGAAGAAGCGTGCGTTTGTGTGAAAAGCCTGTTTGATCAGCAGAGGATGAAAGTATGAATTTAAAGAATAAGTAGGAGCCAGTAAGATAGACCATAATAAGTACAGGAACTGCAGAAGACTTCTAGAAAATCAACACATCTCTGTGGAACAGACTTGCTAGCAGGCTAGCAAGAGGTTGAAGAGACCCCAAAAAACCCAGCATGTGAGGCCTCTTTGTCAGTCTTCTCAAACAAAGTTTCTAGAAGGCACCTGTTCCTTCTTAAAGGGTACCAAGGGCTGTCCAATGAGAATTCTGAGGTAAACCTTACCCAGTCCTCTCTACAGCCCCAATCTGGCACCTTCAGACTTCCTTTACCTCCCCAATCTCAAAGAACTATTCAAAGGAATACAATCCGACTCCCTCGAGGACTCCACAGCTGCTGTTTTGACGTGGTGCAAATTGAAGAGAGCAGAATTCTTCAGGGAATGGTTACTCACTGCCCTCGAGTCAATTCCTACTCAGACCCTCCCTCTTGGGCGGAGTACAGATGTCCCTCAGGCCAGCCAAGAGTGTCAGTCCTTACAGCAGCAGGCAGCATTAACTGTCACACATGGAGACACTGTTGGGGTGAAATGTACCCTTTGAGGTTAGCAGCCAATGTTTAACCTATTGTGCCACCAAGGCGCCACCTTAGGGAAGGGTTGTTGTTGTTAAGTGCCATCG